GTATGGATGGTGTCATGGATGCATGGATGGTGTCAGGGATGTATGGATGGTGTCAGGGATGTATGGATGGTGTCATGGATGTATGGATGGTGTCAGCTCACAATACAAAGGTGACAAACCGGAAAGATTTACATATAAACTAACTCCTCCGACCTGCAGGGTGACCCCAGCGCCGGCCACACACAGGACAATCTGCAGACACGTTCAGCCAACTTCAGATGGTAAGTTGGCTGAACAGACCAGGACATGCAACCTCCCACCAACATATTCTGGATCAATGAAGACTTCTCTCCGGGGATCTCAGGCTGGTGTAGATGTGTATGAGGAGCAAAACTCCATCGTCATCCTCATCCATCTCCTCTCTCAGTAATGGCTGCCATAGCTATCCTCACCATCGGAATTTCCTGGAATCTGTCAGTGAAAGAACAGCCCGTGTGTTCCCTGGTTCAAGCTCCACCCTCTGTCTGAGCACACTGAAGCTCCACCCACATACCTGACAGCATGAGAGGGAGGTTGCACAGCACAGAGCCAGATAATGAGACTACAGCTCCCCCAGCAGCACCGTGCAAACCCTGCTGAGCCTTACTGCAGGTGATATGAAACTCGGATTAAAGTCAGTTGGGAGGGTGTCATGGCCGCCGCAGTGAGGGGGGAGGGGTGGTCGTGGAGCTTGCTGCCCTCTGCCAGTCCCCCTGGATGTGCCTCTGAGGACCCCAGACTGTCAGGTCTCCAGAAACTGCCCTCTGCCTCCCATTACCTCCCATTGTTCAGCCACCTCCCCGCCCGCCTGCACCCTCTGCCCCCCCCCATTGCCCAGCCACCCCCCTGCCTGCACCCTCTGCCCCCCATTGCCCAGCCACCCCCCTGCCTGCACCCTCTGCCCCCCATTGCCCAGCCACCCCCCTGCCTGCACCCTCTGCTCTTCTCTGCTCCCAGTTTGTGTCCAGGGTGCCCCCAGTGCTCTTCTCCCTCTCTCTCTGGGCCCCGCCTCCGCAGACCATCCAGGACAAGCCCTCCGTCGCCCAGACCACCCCCCAAGGAACGTCGGGTGCAATCAGTGTGAGTTCTTGAACCCCTTTGCTGGGCCCTATTGTTACTCCATGGACTGTGTGTCTGCGCCATATTGCTGCCCTATGGACTATTTCCCTGTGCTGTCCCATATTTACACTCCCTCACGTCGGGTTCTGTGTGATTTGCCCCCATGTGCCCCCCCACCTCGCTCTCTTCAAATTCTGGAACCTTTTGTCAACCTCCCCTCCCCCCCCCCCCCCAGTACTCTAGTACCCCTCTATCCAGGCAATGGCTCTCCATCCGGTCCTCTATGATCTTCTATGGTCCTCTATGATCCTCTCTCTGGTCCGTCCTGTACAGATCAGAGGACTGAGGGGAAGACCTCACTCACCTCATTTCCAGGACTGTGGTGCTCAGGTAGTCCGGAAAGTTCTCAAAACATTTCTTAAACTGGAGAGGAAACAGAAAGATTTCAGTATAAAGAGCGGAGAGCCGGAACTGCACTGCAGGGTGACAATATACAGAGAGTCCGGGACCATAGAACACCGGGGTACCGGCACAGTCCGGGACCATAGAACACCGGGGTACCGGCACAGTCCGGGACCATAGAACACCGGGGTACGGCACAGTCCGGGACCATAGAACACCGGGGTACCGGCACAGTCCGGGACCATAGAACACCGGGGTACCGGCACAGTCCGGGACCATAGAACACCGGGGTACCGGCACAGTCCGGGACCATAGAACACCGGGGTACCGGCACAGTCCGGGACCATAGAACACCGGGGGGGTACACAGTCCGGGACCATAGAACACCGGGGTACCGGCACAGTCCGGGACCATAGAACACCGGGGTACCGACACAGTCCGGAAACCATAGAACACCGGGGTACCGGCACAGTCTGGGACCATAGAACACACGGGTCCGGGACCATAGAACACCGGCACAGGGACCGGGGGTACCATAGAACACACCGGGGTGCCGGCACAGTCCGGGACCATAGAACACCGGGGTACCGGCACAGTCCGGGGTAACAGTACACCGGGGTGCCGGCACAGTCCGGGACCATAGAACACCGGGGGGTACCGGCACAGTCCGGGGGTCACAGCACACCGGGGTGCCGGCACAGTCCGGGGTCACAGCACACCAGGGTCCCGGCACAGTCCGGGGTCACAGCACACCGGGGTACCGGCATAGTCCGGGGTCACAGCACACCGGGGTACCGGCACAGTCTGGGGTCACAGCACCCTGGGGTACCGGCACAGTCCGGGGGTCACAGTACACCGGGGTCCCGGCACAGTCCGGGGTCACAGTACACCAGGGTACCGGCACAGTCTGGGACCATAGTACATCAGGGTACCGGCACAGTCCAGGGTCACAGCACACCGGGGTCCCGGCACAGTCCGGGGTCACAGCACACCGGGGTCCCGGCACAGTCCGGGGTCACAGTACACCGGGGTACCGGCACAATCAAGGACCACAGTACATCAGGGTCCCGGCACAGTCCGGGGTCACAGCACTCCGGGGTCCCGGCACAGTCTGGGGTCACAGCACACCGGGGTCCCGGCACAGTCCGGGGTCACAGCACTAGAATACTCACATTGCTGATCACATCCCTGTAGATGGCGGTGTATTGGGCTGATGCCGGGTCTGGGCTGAACTCCTTGCCGGTAATTGTCAGCAAACCATAGAAAGTGTCACCTGAAACCAGAACCAGAACCAGAACCACAAGTCAGCTTCTCTGTTATAGAAGAAATCATCTCTATGTGTTTGGAGATTATTCACCCGATGAGCAGAGATGTGATGCTGAGGAGGAGAGATGGAGACACGAGGTATGAGGGCCCCACCATGGAGAGGTATGAGGGCCTCACCATGGAGAGGTATGAGGGCCCCACAACGGAGAGAGGTATGAGGGCCCCGCAATGCAGAGGTATGAGGACCGCACCATGTAGAGATATGAGGGCCCCGCCATGGAGAGGTATGAGGGCCCCGCCATGGAGAGGTATGAGGGCCCCGCCATGGAGAGGTATGAGGGCCCCGCAATGGAGAGATATGAGGGCCCCCGCAATGGAGAGGTATGAGGGCCTCACAATGCAGAGGTATGAGGGCCCCGCCATGGAGAGGTATGAGGGCCCCGCAATGGAGAGGTATGAGAACCCCACAATGTGGAAGTATGAGGGCCCCACCATGCAGAGGTATGAGGGCCCCGCAATGGAGAGGTATGAGGGCCCCACCATGCAGAGGTATGAGGACCCCGCCATGTAAAGGTATGAGGACCCCACCATGTAGAGGTATGAGGACCCCGCAATGTGAAGATATGAGGACCCCACCATGTAGAGGTATGAGGACCCCACCATGTAGAGGTATGAGGACCCCGCCATGTAGAGGTATGAGGACCCCACAATGCAGAGGTATGAGGACCCCACCATGTAGAGTTATGAGGACCCCGCAATGTAGAGGTATGAGGACCCCACAATGTAGAGGTATGAGGACCCCACAATGTAGAGGTATGAGGACCCCGCCATGTAGAGATATGAGGACCCCACCATGTAGAGGTATGAGGACCCCACCATGTAGAGGTATGAGGACCCCACCATGTAGAGGTATGAGGACCCCGCAATGTGAAGATATGAGGACCCCACCATGTAGAGGTATGAGGACCCCACATGTAGAGGTATGAGGACCCCGCAATGTAGAGGTATGAGGACCCCGCAATGTATGTAGAGGTATGAGGTACCCCGCCATGTAGAGGTATGAGGACCCCGCCATGTAGAGGTATGAGGACCCCACCATGTAGAGGTATGAGGACCCCGCAATGTAGAGGTATGAGGACCCCACAATGTAGAGGTATGAGGACCCCGCCATGTAGAGGTATGAGGACCCCGCCATGTAGAGGTATGAGGACCCCGCAATGTAGAGGTATGAGGACCCCACCATGTAGAGGTATGAGGACCCCGCAATGTAGAGGTATGAGGACCCCACAATGTAGAGGTATGAGGACCCCGCAATGTGAAGATATAAGGACCACATACATGCAGAGAGGGGTGTCGTGCTCCTAGAATTGCCCCCGGGGTATGTTATGGGCTCCGCCCTGCACTGCATGTAGATGCATTCTCAGCAGAGTCCTTCTTTAGGTCAGTGGCCCCTCCCCCCATAATGCAATGTCCAATCAGCTGACAATGTGAACGATCTGATCGATCTCTCCGATAATTCGATGATCTCTCACTCCCCCTCTCTGTTGGGGTCCCTCAAGGTTCTGTCCTCGGGCCCCTTCTCTTCTCCATCTACACCTCCTCCCTTGGCCAACTCATACACTCTCACGGCTTCAACTACCAACTCTATACCGACGACACACAAATCTATCTCTCAACCCCCCACCTCACCCCCTCGGTCTCCGCCCCCACCTCACCCCCTCAGTCTCCGCCCCCCACCTCCTCACCCCCTCAGTCTCCGCCCGAATCACACACCTACTGAGCGACATATCAGACTGGATGTCGCTCCACTTCCTTAAACTGAACCTCTCCAAGACCGAGTTTCTTGTCTTCCCCCCCAGCCCGGACACCCCCCCCATTGACTTCTCCATCATGTCCAACAACGCCACCATCAGCCCCACCCCACAGGCCAGAGTACTGGGTGTCATTCTGGACTCCAACCTATCCTTCCAGCCCCAAGTCCAATCATTAACAAACTCATGCCGCCTCCACCTCCGCAACATGCAGACTCCGCCTCCGCAACATGCAGACTCCGCCTCCGCAACATGCAGACTCCGCCTCCGCAACATCGCCAAAATCCTCACGTTCCTAACCCCAGAAACCACTAAACAGCTCATCCACTCCCTCATCATATCACGACTCGACTACTGCAACTCCCTCCTCACTGGCCTGCCTCACCACAGGCTATCCCCGCTTCAGTCCATCCTGAATACGGCTGCCAGACTCATTCACCTTTCCAACCGCTCCATCTCCACCACCCCCCTCTGCCAATTCCTCCACTGGCCTCCACTCAGTGTCCTCCACCCCTCTCTGCCAATCCCTCCACTGGCCTCCACTCAGCGTCCTCCACCCCCCTCTGTCCAATCCCTCCACTGGCCTCCACTCAGTGTCCTCCACCCCCTCTGCCAATCCCTCCACTGGCCTCCACTCAGTGCCCTCCACCCCCCTCTGCCAATCCCTCCACTGGCCTCCACCCCCCTCTGCCAATCCCTCCACTGGCCTCCACCCCCCCTCTGCCAATCCCTCCACTGGCTTCCGATTGCCCCCATGGATCAAATTCAAAATCCTAACACTGACGTACAAAGCCGTCCACCATACTGCCCCAAACTACATCACTGACCTAATATCCAAGTACCACCCAACACGCACACTCCGCTCCTCACACAAGACCTCCTTCTCTCTAGTTCCCTGGTCTCCTCCTCCCATGCCCGCCTCCAGGACTTCTCCAGGGTGTCACCCATCCTCTGGAACTCCCTGCCCCAACCCATCAGATTATCACCTACTCTCCTCTCCTTTAGGCGCACCCTGAAAACCCATCTCTTCAGGGAAGCCTACCCCCCTCCACCCCCTGCTAACCTGCCGACCTCCTCCACTCTTCCTACCACTCCATCCCCCACAGCTATCTCCCCCTGTACCACCATCCCCTCCCTCCTAGATTGTAAGCTCCAAGGATCAGGGCCCTCGATCCCCTCATGTTTTGCATTGTATTGGTATTGTTCTGTCACATGTTCTGTCCCCCTTTGTAATGTACAGCGCTGAGCGACTATTGGCGCTTTATAAATACTGTATAATAATAATAATAATAATAATGATCTCTCACCTGGATGACACGACGAGTTGCTGAAAGAGAAGCCCGGCGAGCAGCGGCAGACGAAGTCATTGGAGAGCTGAATACACGAAACGTTCCCACAGGGATTGGATGAGCACGTTGTGGGATCTGAGGACAGACAACAGGAGCGGATCAATACAATGTAACATACAGACCTAGAAACAATGTATCACTGCACACCTAACAATGTATCCACACTGCACACCTAACAATGTATCCACACTGCACACCTAACAATGTATCCACACTGCACACCTGAACAATGTATCCACACTGCACACCTAACAATGTATCCACACTGCACACCTAACAATGTATCCACACTGCACACTGAACAATGTATCCACACTGCACACCTAACAATGTAATATCCACACTGCACACCTGAACAATGTATCCACACTGCACACCGACACCTACAATGTATCCACACTGCACACCTAACAATGTATCCACACTGCACACACCTAACAATGTATATCCACACTGCACACCTAACAATGTATATACACTGCACTGCACACCTAACAATGTATATACACTGCACACCTAACAATGTATCCACACTGCACACCTAACAATGTATATACACTGCACACACCTAACAATGTATCCACACTGCACACCTAACAATGTATATACACTGCACACCTAACAATGTATCCACACTGCACACCTAACAATGTATATCCACACTGCACACCTAACAATGTATCCACACACTGCACACCTAACAATGTATCCACACTGCACACCTGAACAATGTATCCACACTGCACCTAACAATGTATATATCACACCTAAACAATGTATCCACACTGCACACCTAACAATGTATCCACACTGCACACCTAACAATGTATCCACACTGCACACCTAACAATGTATATACACACTGCACACCTAACAATGTATCCACACTGCACACCTAACAATGTATCCACACTGCACACCGAACAATGTATCACTGCACACCGACCGTATCCTCACTGCACACCTACAATGTATCCACACTGCACACCTAACAATGTATCCACACTGCACACCTAACAATGTATCCACACTGCACACCTAACAATGTATATACACTGCACACCTAACAATGTATCCATACTGCACACCTAACAATGTACACTGCACACCTAACAATGTATACACTGCACACCTAACAATGTATCCACACTGCACACCTAACAATGTATATACACACTGCACACCTAACAATGTATCCACACTGCACACCTAACAATGTATATACACTGCACACCTAACAATGTATATACACTGCACACCTAACAATGTATCCACACTGCACACCTAACAATGTATCCACACTGCACACCTAACAATGTATATACACTGCACACCTAACAATGTATCCACACTGCACACCTAACAATGTATATACCACACTGCACACCTAACAATGTATATACACTGCACACCTAACAATGTATCCACACACTGCACACCTAACAATGTATATACACTGCACACCTAACAATGTATCCACACTGCACACCTAACAATGTATCCACACTGCACACCTAACAATGTATCCACACTGCACACCTAACAATGTATATACACTGCACACCTAACAATGTATACACACACACACCTAACAATGTATCACACCTAACAATGTATATACACTGCACACCTAACAATGTATATACACTGCACACCTAACAATGTATCCACACTGCACACCTAACAATGTATATACACTGCACACCTAACAATGTATATACACTGCACACCTAACAATGTATATACACTGCACACCTAACAATGTATCCACACTGCACACCTAACAATGTATATACACTGCACACCTAACAATGTATATACACTGCACACCTAACAATGTATCCACACTGCACACCTAACAATGTATATACACTGCACACCTAACAATGTATCACACCTAACAATGTATCCACACTGCACACCTAACAATGTATACACTCACACACAATGCACACCTAACAATGTATCCACACTGCACACCTAACAATGTATATACACTGCACACCTAACAATGTATATACACTGCACACCTAACAATGTATATACACTGCACACCTAACAATGTATCCACACTGCACACCTAACAATGTATATACACTGCACACCTAACAATGTATATACACTGCACACCTAACAATGTATCCACACTGCACACCTAACAATGTATATACACTGCACACCTAACAATGTATCCACACTGCACACCTAACAATGTATCCACACTGCACACCTAACAATGTATCCACACTGCACACCTAACAATGTATATACACTGCACACCTAACAATGTATCCACACTGCACACCTAGCAATGTATATACACTGCACACCTAACAATGTATCCACACTGCACACCTAGCAATGTATCCACACTGCACACCTAGCAATGTACACTGCACACCTAACAATGTATATACACTGCACACCGAACAATGTATCCACACTGCACACCTAGCAATGTATATACACTGCACACCTAACAATGTATCCACACTGCACACCTAACATGTATCCACACTGCACACCTAACAATGTATCCACACTGCACACCTAACAATGTATATACACTGCACACCTAACAATGTATATACACTGCACACACGAACAATGTATATACACTGCACACCGAACAATGTATCCACACTGCACACCTAACAATGTATATACACTGCACACCGAACAATGTATATACACTGCACACCTAACAATGTATCCACACTGCACACCTAACAATGTATATACACTGCACACCTAACAATGTATATACACTGCACACCTAACAATGTATATACACTGCACACCTAACAATGTATATACACTGCACACCTAACAATGTATATACACTGCACACCTAACAATGTATATACACTGCACACCTAACAATGTATATACACTGCACACCTGTATCCACACTGCACACCTAACAATGTATATACACTGCACACCTAACAATGTATCCACACTGCACACCTAACAATGTATATACACTGCACACCTAACAATGTATCCAAACTGCACACACTAACAATGTATCCACACTGCACACCTAACAATGTATATGCACACCTAACAATGCACTGCACACCTAACAATGTATCCTAACACACTGCACACCTAACAATGTATATACACTGCACACCTAACAATGTATCCACACTGCACACCTAACAATGTATATACACTGCACACCTAACAATGTATCCACACTGCACACCTGTATCCACAATGTATCCACACTGCACACCTAACAATGTATCCACACTGCACACCTAACAATGTATCCACACTGCACACCTAACAATGTATCCACACTGCACACCTAACAATGTATATACACTGCACACCTAACAATGTATATACCACACTGCACACCTAACAATGTATCCACACTGCACACCTAACAATGTATCCACACTGCACACCTAACAATGTATCCACACTGCACACCTAACAATGTATCCACACTGCACACCTAACAATGTATCCAAACTGCACACCTAACAATGTAATCACACTGCACACCTAACAATGTATCCACACTGCACACCTAACAATGTATCCACACTGCACACCTAACAATGTATATACACTGCACACCTAACAATGTATCCACACTGCACACCTAACAATGTATCCACACTGCACACCTAACAATGTATCCACACTGCACACCTATGTATCCACACTGCACACCTAACAATGTATCCACACTGCACACCTAACAATGTATCCACACTGCACACCTAACAATGTATCCACACTGCACACCTAACAATGTATCCACACTGCACACCTAACAATGTATATACACTGCACACCTAACAATGTATCCACACTGCACACCTAACAATGTATCCACACTGCACACCTAATATACAATGTATCCACACTGCACACCTAACAATGTATATACACTGCACACCTAACAATGTATCCACACTGCACACCTAACAATGTATCCACACTGCACACCTAACAATGTATCCACACTGCCACACTGCACACCTAGCAATGTATATACACTGCACACCTAACAATGTATCCACACTGCACACCTAACAATGTATATACACTGCACACCTAACAATGTATATACACTGCACACCTAACAATGTATCCTGCACACTGCAATGTATATACACCTAGCAATGTATATACACTGCACACCTAACAATGTATATACACTGCACACCTAACAATGTATATACACTGCACACCTGCAAACCTAACAATGTATCCACACTGCACACCTAACAATGTATATACACTGCACACCTAACAATGTATCCACACTGCACACCTAGCAATGTATATACACTGCACACCTAACAATGTATCCACACAATGCACACACCTAGCAATGTATCCACACTGCACACCTAGCAATGTATCCACACTGCACACCTAACAATGTATATACAATGCACACCTAACAATGTATATACACTGCACACCTAACAATGTATATACACTGCACACCGAACAATGTATATACACTGCACACACGAACAATGTATCCACACTGCACACCTAACAATGTATATACACTGCACACCGAACAATGTATATACACACTGCACACCTAACAATGTATCCACACTGCACACCTAACAATGTATATACACTGCACACCTAACAATGTATATACACTGCACACCTAACAATGTATACACTGCACACCTAACAATGTATATACACTGCACACCTAACAATGTATCCACACTGCACACCGAACAATGTATCCACACTGCACACCTAACAATGTATATACACTGCGCACCTAACAATGTATATACACTGCACACCTAACAATGTATCCACACTGCACACCTAACAATGTATATACACTGCACACCGAACAATGTATATACACTGCACACCGAACAATGTATCCACACTGCACACCTAACAATGTATACACTACACACAATGCACACCTGCAACAATGTATCCACACTGCACACCTAACAATGTATATACACTGCACACCTAACAATGTATATACACTGCACACCTAACAATGTATCCACACTGCACACCTAACAATGTATCCACACTGCACACCTAACAATGTATCCACACTGCACACCTAACAATGTATATACACTGCACACCTAACAATGTATCCACACTGCACACCTAACAATGTATATACACTGCACACCTAACAATGTATCCACACTGCACACCTAACAATGTATATACACTGCACACCTAACAATGTATCCACACTGCACACCTAACAATGTATATACACTGCACACCTAACAATGTATCCACACTGTATCACACACTGCACACCTAACAATGTATATACACTGTACACCTAACAATGTATCCACACACTGCACACCTAACAATGTATGTATATACACTGCACACCTAACAATGTATCCACACTGCACACCTAACAATGTATCCACAACTGCATCACACTAAACAATGTATCCACACTGCACACCTAACAATGTATCCACACTGCACACCTAACAATGTATCCACACTGCACACCTAACATGCCGTGTTTCCTCAGTAATAACCCCCATCATTGGTGGTCAGTGGCTGCGCTCTTTACAACGTCCGTCCCCATTGGTGCTCGTCGGCGGTGCTACTCACCCCTTCATAATGCTGCATGAAGGAGTCAATGAAGACCACCAGTGGCCACTAATGAGCACGAGAGGCACAATTACCACCGGCACAGTGATGCAGCAAACGGGTAATTATTAACTCGGCTACTGACCACTAATGCATCACTGACCTCCGAGAGTGAATAGAGCCGGAGCATAACCAACCTGACCTGACTCCCAGCCACCTCCCCTAGATGTGCACCCCCAAACACTCCAGCCACCTCCCCGGACACTACATGTGCACCCCCAACACTCCATGTGCACCCCCAACACTCCATGTGCACCCCGGATACTCCATGTGCACCCCCAACACTCCATGTGCACCCCCAACACTCCATGTGCACCCCGGACACTCCATGTGCACCCCGGACACTCCATGTGCACCCCGGATACTCCATGTGCACCCCCAACTCCATGTGCTCCATCCATGTGCACCCCGGACACTCCATGTGCACCCCCGACACTCCATGTGCACCCCGGATACGTGCACACTCCATGTGCACCCCGGACACTCCATGTGCACCCCCGACACTCCATGTGCACCCCGGACATTCCATGTGCACCCCCGACACTCCATGTGCACCCCCGACATTCCATGTGCACCCCCGACACTCCATGTGCACCCCCGACATTCCATGTGCACCCCGGCACATTCCATGTGCACCCCCGACACTCCATGTGCACCCCCGACACTCCATGTGCACCCCCGACACTCCATGTGCACCCCCGACATTCCATGTGCACCCCGGACATTCCATGTGCACCCCCGACCCATGGACACATTCCATGTGCACCCCCGACACTCCATGTGCACCCCCGACACTCCATGTGCACCCCGGACACTCCATGTGCACCCCGGACACTCCATGTGCACCCCCACTCCATGTGCACCCCCAACACTCCATGTGCACCCCCAACACTCCATGTGCACCCCGGACACTCCATGTGCACCCCCAACACTCCATGTGCACCCCGGACACTCCATGTGCTTAGTGTTAGTTAAGGTGCAAAAAAAATACAATAAAAAAGTCATAAAAAAACATTTAAATAAAATCCCCCAATACTGGGTATAAATCCAACCATAAACATGAACAAAACTGCAACACCGAGTGGAACAATCACATACATGAATGTGAAAGGTAAGTACATTATAGTGCCCCAAGTATCGGGCCACTGGCCTTTCGACACACATGACCTTTAATGACCCCCCAGTCTTAGTCCGTAGGGTTCAATATTGAGTTGGCCCCGCCCTTTCCACACACATGACCTTTAATGGCCCCTTCAGTCTTAGTCCGTAGGGTTCAATATTGAGTTGGCCCCGCCCTTTCCACACACATGACCTTTAATGGCCCCCCAGTCTTAGTCCGTAGGGTTCAATATTGAGTTGGCCCCGCCCTTCCCCCCCACACATGACCTTTAATGGCCCCCCAGTCTTAGTCCGTAGGGTTCAATATTGAGTTGGCCCCGCCCTTTGCAGCTATAACAGCTTCAACTCTTCTGGGAAGGCCGTCCACAAGGTTTAGGAGGGTGTCTATGGGAAGGTTGGACCATTCTTCCAGAAGCACATTTGTCAGGTCAGGCACTGATGTCGGGGGAGGGGCACTGATGTCGGGGGAGGGGGCCTGGCTCGCAGTCTCCACTCTAATTCATCCCAAAGGTGTTCTATGGGGTTGAGGTCAGGACTCTGTGCAGGACAGTCAAGTTCCTCCACCCCAAACTGGCTCCTCCATGTCTTTATGGACCTTGCTTTGTGCACTGGTGGGCAGTCATGTTGGGACAGGAAGAGGCCATCCCCAAACTCCTCCCACAAAGTTGGGAGCATGAAATTGTCCAAAATGTCATCCCTTCACTGGAACTAGGGGGCCAAGCCCAACTCCTGAACAACAACCCCACACCATTATCCCCCCTCCACCAAACTTTACACTTGGCACAATGCAGTCAGGCAAGTACCGTTCTCCTGGCCACCGCCAAACCCAGACCTGTCCATCGCATTGCCAGACAGAGAAGCGTGATTGGTCACTCCAGAGAACACGTCTCCATGCTCTAGAGTCCAGTGGTGGCGTGCTTTACACCACGCCATCCGACGCTTTGCATTGCACTTGGTGATGGAAGGCTTGGATGCAGCTGCTCGGCCATGGAAACCCATTCCATGAAGCTCTCTACGTACTGTTGTTGGGCTCATCTGAAGGCCACACCAAGTTTGGAGGTCTTTAGCTATTGACTCTGCAGACAGTTGGTGACTTCTGCGCACTGTGCGCTTCAGCATGTGCTGACCCCGCCCTGTCATGTGACGTGGCCTACCACTTGGTGGCTGAGTGGCTGTTGTTCCCAGTTGCTTCCACTTTGTTATAATCCCACTAACAGTTGAGCGTGGAATATTTAGTAGCCAGGAAATGTCACGGATGGACTTATTGCCCAGGTGGCCACCTATCACGGGACCCCCGCTTGGAGTCACTGAGCTCCTGAGAGCGACCCATTCTTTCACCAATGTTTGTAGAAGCAGTCTGCATGTCTAGGGGCTTGATTGGTATACACCTGTGTCCATGGAGGGGATTGGGCCACCTGAATCACATGATATGGAGGGGATTGGGCCACTGGAATCACATGATATGGAGGGGATTGGAACACCTGAATCACATGATATGGAGGGGATTGGAGCACCTGAATCACATGATATGGAGGGGATTGGAGCACCTGAATCACATGATATGGAGGGGATTGGAACACCTGAATCACATGATATGGAGGGGATTGGAGCACCTGAATCACATGATATGGAGGGGATTGGAACACCTGAATCACATGATATGGAGGGGATTGGAACACCTGAATCACATGATATGGAGGGGATTGGAGCACCTGAATCACATGATATGGAGGGGATTGGAACACCTGAATCACATGATATGGAGGGGATTGGAACACCTGAATCACATGATTGGGAGGGGATTGGAACACCTGAATCACATGATTGGGAGGGCGGGTACAATACTTGGGGCAATATCGTGTATTTTGGACGCACAGCATAAGTGCACTCCTGTACCAAGCAGTAGGTGGCGCTGGACTCCTTACAATCTACAAACACTACAACATTGTAGTGTATTTGTTAAAATTGCAACTTTTTTGTGACGGTTTCACATATTATTTCTCTTTCTGTACCTCCGATAGATAATTGTGCCTGATTGGTTGATACAAATTTGTTGTTTTATGTACAAGAAAAACTACAAAATGTCATCTTTGCCAAAACTCATCCATTAACAAACGTTATAGAGATTATTCAACTCTGCTCCTAAAGTGGACCTGTCATTGAATCTCACACTTCAGGAGTCAATGGGTCGATTGGTCGATGGGTCGATGGGTCGATAGGTCGATTGGTCGATGGGTTGAAAGGTTGATGGGTCGATAGGTCGATTGGTCGATGGGTCGATGGGTCCTGAGCCAACATTGCTGCTCTGCCTGTCCTGTCTAGTAGACGGCTCCCCAATGTGACATTTCTAATTAAATACGCCTGTCATGGAGATTCGAATGGATTAAACCCATATGAGGGATGCAGAGTATAAAACCCCAACGAAGGCAATAAATGCCCCTAAAACATGTCAGATCATTAATTCAAAATAAAGCATCTTTGGATGAAAACCTTGCCGGCCCCTCCTGCTCGGAGCTGAGTGGTTGCTCTGGGGATGTTCTTGCTTTATTTATGATTACAAATATATATTCTTACAAATGCTGAGATAGAACAGCACAGTGAGTCCCGGGTCACCTCTGGAGTTCATTGAGTTTCAAGTCACCTTTGGGGCTGAGTGAGTCCTGAGTCACCTTTGGAGCTCAGTAAGTCCTGGGTCATCTTTGGAACTCAATGAGTCCCAGGCCATCCTGGAGCTCTGGGAGTCCTGGGTCACCTCTGGAGCTGAGTGAGTCCTGGGTCACCTCTGGAGCTGAGTGAGTCCTGGGTCACCTCTGGAGCTGAGTGAGTCCTGGGTCACATCTGGAGCTCAGAGCCCTGGGTCACCTCTGAAGTGCAATGAGTCCTGGGTCATCTTCAGAGCTCAATGAGTCCTGGGCCAGCTGTGGAGCTCAGTGAGTCCCGGGCCACCTCTGGAGCTCAGTGAGTCCTGGGCCACCTCTGGAGCTCAGTGAGTCCTGGGCCACCTCTGAAGTGCAGTGAGTCTTGGATCACCTCTGGAGTTCAGTGAGTCCCGGGTCACCTCTGGAGCTCAGTGAGTCCCGGGCCACCTCTGGAGCTCAGTGAGTCCCGGGTCACCTCTGGAGCTCAGTGAGTCCCGGGTCACCTCTGGAGCTCAGTGAGTCCCGGGTCACCTCTGGAGCTCAGTGAGTCCCGGGTCACCTCTGGAGCTCAGTGATTCCCGGGTCACCTCTGGAGCTCAGTGATTCCCGGGTCACCTCTGGAGCTCAGTGAGTCCCGGGTCACCTCTGGAGCTCAGTGAGTCCCGGGTCACCTCTGAAGCTCAGTGAGTCCCCGGGTCACCTCTGGAGCTCAGTGAGTCCCGGGCCACCTCTGGAGCTCAGTGATTCCCGGGTCACCTCTGGAGCTCAGTGATTCCCGGGTCACCTCTGGAGCACAGTGAGTCCCGGGTCACCTCTGGAGCTCAGTGAGTCCCGGGTCACCTCTGGAGCTCAGTGAGTCCCGGGTCACCTCTGGAGCTCAGTGAGTCCTGGGTCACCTCTGGAGCTCAGTGATTCCCGGGTCACCTCTGGAGCTCAGTGAGTCCCGGGTCACCTCTGGAGCTCAGTGAGTCCCGGGTCACCTCTGGAGCTCAGTGAGTCCTGTGTCACCTCTGGAGTTCAATGAGTCCTGGGTCACCTCTGGAGCTCAGTAAGTCCTGGGTCACCTCTGGAGCTCAGTGAGTCCTGTGTCACCTCTGGAGCTCAGTGAGTCCCGGGTCACCTCTGGAGCTCAGTAAGTCCTGGGTCACCTCTGGAGCTCAGTGAGTCCTGTGTCACCTCTGGAGCTCAGTGATTCCTGGGTCACCTCTGGAGCTCAGTGAGTCCTGTGTCACCTCTGGAGTTGAATGAGTCCTGGGTCACCTCTGGAGCTCAGTGAGTCCTGGGTCACCTCTGGAGCTCAGTGAGTCCTGGGTCACCTCTGGAGCTCAGTGATTCCCGGGTCACCTCTGGAGCTCAGTGATTCCCGGGTCACCTCTGGAGCTCAGTGATTCCCGGGTCACCTCTGGAGTTCAATGAGTCCTGGGTCACCTCTGGAGCTCAGTAAGTCCTGGGTCACCTCGAGAGCTCAGTCATCTCTACCTGGTAAAGATAAATAAGCACAGCTCCAGTCTCATACTCACTGGCTGTTGTTGTGGTCACTGCTGCCTCTGTGATGTTTATCCTTGGTGTGGTGACATTTGGGATGCCGGTGGCTTCTGTAACGTTTGAGCTGCTTGACTCTTGAGTGCTGAGGCTGGTGGTGGCCTCATCTGTTGTATTTCCACTTGAACCCGGAGGTGTGGTTACATTCTGGTCTGTAGGCGCATTGCTGGGTGTGATGGCGGTGTTTGCGTCAGGTGCAGTAGGCTTTGAGGTCTCCATAGTACCATCAGTGGGTGCAGGGTCAGTAGTGGTGGCTGGAACAAAAGACGAGAAATATTATTGGAAAATGACGTTTGTTCCTCTTATCCATGTGATCTGTCACTCTGCCCTATAGGCCGGCCCTGCTCAGCCTGCACTCCCCGGGAGTTTAGGAACTACATATCCCACCATCCCCCACATCAGAGGGACAGGGTGCTCTGGGATCAGTAGTCAAATATAGAGCTCTGCAATCACAAATGACTTCTTATTAACCACTTCCAGTCCGGACACTTCCCCCCCTTCCAGTCCGGACACTTTCCCCCCCTTCCAGTCCGGACACTTTCCCCCCCTTCCAGTCCGGACACTTTCCCCCCCCCTTCCAATCCGGACGCTTTCCCCCCCCTCCAGTCCGGACACTTTCCCCCCCTTCCAATCCGGACACTTTCACCCCCTTCCAGTCCAGACGCTTTCACCCCCTTCCAGTCCGGACACTTTCCCCCCCTTCCAGTCCAGACGCTTTCACCCCCTTCCAGTCCGGACACTTTCCCCCCCTTCCAGTCCGGACACTTCCCCCCCTTCCAGTCCAGACACTTTCACCCCTTCCAGTCCGGACACTTTCACCCCCTTCCAGTCCGGACACTTTCCCCCCCCCTTCCAGTCCGAACGCTTCCCCCCCTTCCAGTCCGAATGCTTTCCCCCCCTTCCAGTCCGGACACTTTCACCCCCTTCCAGTCCGAACGCTTTCCCCCCCTTCCAGTCCGGACATTTTCACCCCCCCCCCACTCCGGACACTTTCATCCCCTTCCAGTCCGGACACTTTCCCCCCCTTCCAGTCCGGACACTTTCCCCCCCTTCCAGTCCGGACAGTTTTTCCCCCCTTTCAGTCCGGACACTTTCCCCCCTTCCAGTCCAGACACTTTCCCCCCTTCCAGTCCGGACACTTTCCCCCCCCCTTCCAGTCCGGACACTTTCCCCCCTTCCAGTCCGGACACTTTCCCCCCCTTCCAGTCCGGACGCTTTCACCCCCTTCCAGTCCGGACACTTTCCCCCCCCCCAAAATATACAACTTCCAGTCCGGACGCTTTCCCCCCCCCTTCCAGTCCGGACACTTTCCCCCCCCCCTTCCAGTCCGGACACTTCCCCCCCCTTCCAGTCCGGACGCTTTCCCCCCCTTCCAGTCCGGGACGCTTTCCCCCCCTTCCAGTCCGGACACTTTCCCCCCCTTCCAGTCCAGGCCTATTTCCAGCTTTCAGCGCTATCACACTTTGAATGACAATTGCGCGGTCATGCAACACTGTACCCATATGAATTTTTGCATTTTTTTGAGACAGATAGAACTTTATTTTGGTTGTATTTATTCACCGCTGGGAGTTTTCTTTATTTTATATTCTTTTTAAATATAAATGAAAAATTCCCAAAATTTAAAAAAAAAAAAGTATTTTTCTTATAAAATTTAGCAAATAAGTGATATTTCATCATAAATCTTGGCCAAGATCTATTCAGTCATCTTTTTAGTAAAAAAAAAACAAAAAAAACAACCCAGATTAGTTTAAAACCAAATATAATTTTTTTTAAAAAACTTTTTAAAATTTTAATTTTATTTTTTACTATTTGTTTTTTTTTTTTTTTTTTTTTTACATACTGTCACCCTAGCAGTGTGGGGTCACCCTAGCAGTGTGGGGTCACCATGGTGACACTGCACTACTTTTGTGGGTGATGAAGATTTCTTTTTTTTTTTTTTTTACACTGATTACTTTTACACCCATTAAGGCTGTAAAAGTAATCATTTCTCCTCCTCTCCTTGCAGCCATTGAGAAATACTGTGTGAGCTGTGATTGGTCACAACTTGTCACATGGTACAAGGCTGTTGTGAATGGCCCTGTACCACATGATCTCTGTGATCATTCACAGATTTCACACGTAGTAAGCAATGATGTCAGAAATAACATCTTGCTTACTACTCTGCATGTGATCACTAATTGGCCAATCAGTGATCACATGATCGGGAACTCATACAGAGGTCCTCTATGATGATCGGTGTTCTGCTGTGTCCGGAGGACACATTGGGCACTGGGGATCGCAGTGCTGCGCGCTCCCATGGAGCGCGCACAGTCCAAAATAGGTGGCGCCATTTATGAACACCAACCCGCCCCTGGACTGCCACCATCTGGCCGTTTATATACAGCAGCCGGACAGGAAGGGGTTAAAAATAAATAATAACTTTGTAAGACTCACACTTTGGCATCAAACGCCATAAACATCTCTTCCACCATCCAGACAAAGATCAGCATTTTCCTGATTATAACCCCCTGAGACCCAAGAATCAGAAGCAACAAAAACTGTTTATTGGTTTTGGGGCTCAAAGTTATTTTTCCATTTTGTTGATCGTTTTTGTTTTTTTTGTTTATTTATGTATTTTATTTCATTCTGTCAACACTTGTAAATCGCTCCCGAATGGTCTCAGATTCTCCCTACAGAAGGCCCCCACGGAGCGCGCTCTGTGCCTGAGTAATCTATATCTACAGGAGATCCTGTCATTGATTCGTCATGTTCCCCGTCAGTGACTCCCCGCCATCTTGTGTTCCCGATCTCTACCTGCCGTTCTCTGCTGGTGATCACAGAGGAACGCTTGATTGTTATATTATCACCAGATATTAGCATGAACACTACGTTGCAGATATGACTGAGATGGAGTATTCAACACCCGGGGGGGGGGCTCTACACAACAAAATGATCTTCAGTAATATTAATGAAATATATATGTATTATGTGAACAAAACTGATTGTAGAGACACTTTACATTGACAGACACTAGAAAAGTGACCCCTTTATTCGTGGTCAGTGGGAAGAATGTCCCTTACATTGGGGGTCAGTGGGAAGAATGTCCCTTACATTGGGGGTCGGTGGGAAGAATGTCCCTTACATTGGTGATCAGTGGGAAGAACGTCCCTTACATTGGGGGTCAGTGGGAAGAATGTCCCTTACATTGGGGGTCAGTGGGAAGAATGTCCCTTACATTGGGGGTCAGTGGGAAGAATGTCCCTTACATTGGTGGTCAGTGGGAAGAATGTCCCTTACATTGGTGGTCAGTGGGAAGAATGTCCCTTACATTGGTGGTCGGTGGGAAGAACGTCCCTTACATTGGGGGTCAGTGGGAAGAACGTCCCTTACATTGGTGATCAGTGGGAAGAATGTCCCTTACATTGGTGGTCAGTGGGAAGAATGTCCCTTACATTGGGAGTCAGTGGGAAGAATGTCCCTTACATTGGGGGTCAGTGGGAAGAACGTCCCTTACATTGGGGGTCAGTGGGAAGAATGTCCCTTACATTGGGGATCAGTGGGAAGAATGTCCCTTACATTGGTGATCAGTGGGAAGAATGTCCCTTACATTGGTGGTCAGTGGGAGAATGTCCCTTACATTGGGAGTCAGTGGGAAGAATGTCCCTTACATTGGGGGTCAGTGGGAAGAATGCCCCCTACATTGCGGGTCAGTGGGGAAGAATGTCCCCTTACATTGGGGGTCGGTGGGAAGAAATGTCCCCCTTACATTGGAGGTCAGTGGGAAGAATGTCCCTTACATTGGGGGTCGGTGGGAAGAATGTCCCTTACATTGGTGATCAGTGGGAAGAATGTCCCTTACATTGGGGGTCGGTGGGAAGAATGTCCCTTACATTCGGGGTCGGTGGGGAGAATGTCCCTTACATTGGGGGTCAGTGGGAAGAATGTCCCTTACATTGGGGGTCGGTGGGAAGAATGTCCCTTACATTGGGGGTCGGTGGGAAGAATGTCCCTTACATTGGGGGTCAGTGGGAAGAATGTCCCTTACATTGGTGATCAGTGGGAAGAATGTCCCTTACATTGGTGATCAGTGGGAAGAATGTCCCTTACATTGGTGATCAGTGGGAAGAATGTCCCTTACATTGGGGGGTCAGTGGGAAGAATGTCCCTTACATTGGGGGTCGGTGGGAAGAATGTCCCTTACATTGGGGGTCGGTGGGAAGAATGTCCCTTACATTGGTGATCAGTGGGAAGAATGTCCCTTACATTGGGGGGTCAGTGGGAAGAATGTCCCTTACATTGGTGGTCAGTGGGAAGAATGTCCCTTACATTGGAGGTCAGTGGGAAGAATGTCCCTTACATTGGTGGTCAGTAGGAAGAATGTCCCTTACTTTGGGGTCGGTGGGAAGAATGTCCCTTACATTGGGGGTCAGTGGGAAGAATGTCCCTTACATTGGGGGTCAGTGGGAAGAATGTCCCTTACATTGGGGGGTCGGTGGGAAGAATGTCCCTTACATTGGGGGTCGGTGGGAAGAATGCTCCCCTTACAGATACTGGGTAAAGTCATTGGTGAGTGGTATCCTATTCGAGAGGCAGAAATTACATGTGGCATCTCTAGTAACCTCTGGGGGAACTCCGGGTGAGAATGGTTCTTCTCCATATCCAGGCACTGTCCCTGTTCATGACTGCGATGATAATAATGACCAGTTTGGTCCTAGCCCCATCATTCCCCTCCCCCCAATGTCCGGTAATAGATTTGGGAGGACCCATCTTACCTCCTACAGAAGCCAGTAAAAGTCCGCAGGTCACACAGATGTACAGAATCCCCCTCATGGCTCCTCTCTGACTCCTCACTGAGAAATGATTGGACTTCCTGGGATTTTCATCTTTAAGCTGCGCTCGGGTCCAGAGTCCGCTCATTGACGTCAGATGCTAATTGGACTCCGGTTGATAATTAATATCTGTGTATGGAGGAAGTATAGATTGTCTCTCCTGGGACAGGTGTGGCGGAGGTAAAGCAGATAGCAGTGACACTCGGGCCCCCTTGGCTTGTCACTTGTTTGGGTTTTAGGATTGTGGTAAAATCTCACAGCAACCAACAAAATGATCATTTTTTTATATCTATACAGTATACACTCACCGGCCACGTTATTAGGTCCACCTGTTCAATGGCTCGGTAACACAAATCACTAATCAGCCAATCACATGGCAGCAACAAAATGTACTTAGGCATCTAGACTTGGTGAAGACAAGTTGATGAAATTCAAACCGAGCATCAGAATGGGGAAAAAAGGGGATTTTAGTGACTTTGAACATGGCATGGTTGTTGGTGCCAGACGGGCTGGTCTGAGGATTTCACAAACTGCTGATCTCCTGGGATTTTCCCACACAACCATCTCCAGGGTTTACAGAGAATGGTCCGAAAAAGAGAAAAATATCCAGTGAGTGGCAGTTGTGTGGAGGAAAATGCCTTGTTGGTGTCAGAGGAGAATGGGCAGACTGGTTGGAGATGATAGAAAGACAACAGTAACACTAATAACCCCTCGTTACACCTAAGGTATGCAGAATCCCATCTCTGAATGCACAACATGTTCAACCTTGAAGCAGATGGGCTACAGCAGCAGAAGACCACACCAAGTGCCACTCCTGTCAGCTAAGAACAGGAAACGGAGGCTACAATTTGCATAGGCTCACCGAAATTGGATGATAGAAGATTGCAATGATGAGTCTGGATTTCAGCTGTGACATTCAGATGGTGGGGTCAGAATTTGGTGTAAACAACATGAAAGCATGGATCCATCCTGCCTTGTATCAACGGTTCAGGCTGGTGGTGGTGGTGTCATGGTGTGATGGATCCATCCTGCCTTGTATCAATGGTTCAGGCTGGTGGTTGTGGTGGTGTCATGGTGTGGTGGATCCATCCTGCCTTGTATCAATGGTTCAGGCTGGTGGTGGTGGTGTCATGGTGTGGTGGATCCATCCTGCCTTGTATCAACGGTTCAGGCTGGTGGTGGTGTCATGGTGTGGGGGATCCATCCTGCCTTGTATCAACGGTTCAGGCTGGTGGTGGTGTCATGGTGTGGGGGATCCATCCTGCCTTGTATCAGTGGTTCAGGCTGGTGGTGGTGGTGTCATGGTGTGATGGATCCATCCTGCCTTGTATCAATGGTTCAGGCTGGTGGTGGTGGTGTCATGGTGTGATGGATCCATCCTGCCTTGTATCAACGGTTCAGGCTGGTGGTGGTGGTGTCATGGTGTGGGGGATCCATCCTGCCTTGTATCAATGGTTCAGGCTGGTGGTGGGGGTGTCATGGTGTGATGGATCCATCCTGCCTGCCTTGTATCAACGGTTCAGGCTGGTGATGGTGGTGTCATGGTGTGGGGGATCCCTCCTGCCTTGTATCAACGGTTCAGGCTGGTGGTGTGGTGTCATGGTGTGGGGGATCCCTCCTGCCTTGTATCAACGGTACAGTCTGGTGGTGGTGTCATGATGTGGTGGATCCATACTGCCTTGTATCAATGGTTCAGGCTGGGTGGTGGTGGTGTCATGGTGTGGGGAAGATTTTCTCGACACTAGCAAGGTGGACCTAATAAAGTGGACGGTGATTGTATATTGCTACTTAAATTCCATTACACAAAGCAGATGGAAAGTAAATGTTTACAGAGTCCAATAGAGGCAATAAGATCTATCGGAGATGAAGATTCTATGAAGATGAGTGATGGATACCCAACATTGTATCCTCATGTACCTGACACATCCCGTGTAATCAGTGGATCTCTAGTTGGCCTCCTGCTCTCTAGTCTGAGGTCACTGGAAGAGCTGCTCTCTCCTTGTAGGACTTGGCTGTCAGTGTGACATCCTGGCCCTGGTGCAGGAGATGGCCAGGCCATACATAACCAGGAGAAGCTCCCACCCTAGCTGGCCCCACCACCACAACGCCTGAGGCCTGGTCCCATGAGGACTAATAACTAACTGTGGCATCCAAGGCCCTCGTTGGTCCCAGTAATTGCCCCATTGTATCACCCACAACCCACTGTTACTCAGGAATTACCTCTGCTCAGGACTTATTGAACTCCAGAGATGACCAAGGACTCACTGAGCTCCAGAGATGACCCAGGACTCACTGAGCTCCAGAGATGACCCAGGACTTACTGAACTCCAGTGGTGACCCAGGACTCACTGAGCTCCAGAGATGACCCAGGACTCACTGAGCTCCAGAGATGACCCATGACTCACTGAACTCCAGAGATGACCCAGGACTCACTGAGCTCCAGAGAATACCTGAAACTCAATGAACTCAAGAGGTGATCTAGGAGGACTCACTAAGCTCCATAGGTGGCCCAGGACTCACTGAGCTCCAGAGGTGGTCAGGAATCACTGAGCTCCAGAGATGACCCAGGGCTCACTGAACTTCAGAGGTGACCCAGGACTCATTGAACTCCAGAAGTGAACCAGGACTCACTGAGCTCCAGAGATGACCCAGGACTCACTGAGCTCCAGAGATGACCCAGGACTCACTGAACTCCAGAGGTGACCCAGGACTCGCTGAACTCTCAGAGGTGACCCAGAACTCACTGAACTCCAGAGGTGACCCAGGACTCATTGAACTCCAGAAGTGACCCAGGACTCACTGAGCTCCAGAGGTGACCTGAAACTCAATGAACTCCAGAGGTGACCAGGACTCACTGAGCTCCTTATGTGATCCAGGACTCACTGAGCTCCAGAGGTGGCCCAGAACTCAATGATCTCAAAAGGTGGCCCAGGACTCATTGAGCTTGATATTCAGTAGATGCTCTCAGGTCTTCCCAGGGGGGTCTGTAGGTCTGCTGCATGTAAAGCGTACCTCCAGCGAGCGTCTTGCTCTGTGTTAGTCATGGATTGGTGCAGAAAGTCTGGAATTTAGAGGGATCCCCCTTTATTTATTACAGATGTCAAGTCCCTAAATCGTGCAACTTTAGCAACGTAAAGAGACCCTGTCACCAGACCCATCATTTCAGCTGCAATCTTCCTATTATATTTAATGTAGTATATTGTTACTATTATCCTGTAAGCTCCTCCCTGTGTGGACGTCCAAAAAGCCCAAGACTTCTGCAGGGTGCCGCCATCTTGGATATGACCCCAACAAGACATAGGAGGTGATATCAAAAGGTTTCAAAACTAATTTTGTAACAGTAATGGATGGCAGCACAAGGCTGAACGCACAATCACAGGGAGCACCGACCTTCATAAGTCAGTGTGCCAAAAGACATCATCCTGTGTACATCGGGAGCTGTGCAACTGGTGCTATTCTGACCACATGCATTACCATGGGGGAGATTTACTAAAACCAGAGCACACAGAATCTGGTTCGGCTGTGCATTGTAACCAATCAGCTTCAACTACAGCTTGTTCAATGAAGCTTTGCCAATAAAACCTGGAAACTGATTGGTTCCCATGCAGAGCTGCACCAGATATATATACTGTATATATATATATATATATATATTATATCTATATATATATATCTGTGTGTATATGTATGTATATATATGTGTGTGTATATATATATATATATATATTTATTGAAATATATTGAATGTGGCCAAAATTGTAGCATTTCAAATATTTGTCAATATATTTGGGGAAGAACATTTTTAAAGTATATTTCAAATATATTTTTCTTCCATGTGGTGGTTCCCGGCCCACAGCAGTCATTCCTGGGAACATTCAGCGTGTGGAAAGTCTGATCCTGGATCATCGATCGTGAAATTGCACAACAGACCAATCTTTCTGTGGGAACGGTGAACACAATGATGAGGAAGTGAAGCTGGATGTCCTAGGATGGTTCAGGCGTACCGACAAATCTTTCTATGCTGAAGACTTCCAGGCAGGGGCGGACTGACCATTTGGGCACTGCCCGAGGGCCCGGGGTCAGTAGGGGGCCCCATGAGATTATTATTATTATACAGTATATATAAAGCGCCAATAGTTGGCTCAGCGCTGTACATTACAGAGGGGGACAGAACATGAGACAGAACAA